GTGTGTGTGAGTGAGTGAGAGTGTGTGTGTGAGTGAGTGAGAGTGTGTGTGTGAGTGAGTGAGAGTGTGTGTGTGAGTGAGTGAGAGTGTGTGTGTGAGTGAGTGAGAGTGTGTGTGTGAGTGAGTGAGAGTGTGTGTGTGAGTGAGTGAGAGTGTGTGTGTGAGTGAGTGAGAGTGTGTGTGTGAGTGAGTGAGAGTGTGTGTGTGAGTGAGTGAGAGTGTGTGTGTGAGTGAGTGAGAGTGTGTGTGTGAGTGAGTGAGAGTGTGTGTGTGAGTGAGTGAGAGTGTGTGTGTGAGTGAGTGAGAGTGTGTGTGTGAGTGAGTGAGAGTGTGTGTGTGAGTGAGTGAGAGTGTGTGTGTGAGTGAGTGAGAGTGTGTGTGTGAGTGAGTGAGAGTGTGTGTGTGAGTGAGTGAGAGTGTGTGTGTGAGTGAGTGAGAGTGTGTGTGTGAGTGAGTGAGAGTGTGTGTGTGAGTGAGTGAGAGTGTGTGTGTGAGTGAGTGAGAGTGTGTGTGTGAGTGAGTGAGAGTGTGTGTGTGAGTGAGTGAGAGTGTGTGTGTGAGTGAGTGAGAGTGTGTGTGTGAGTGAGTGAGAGTGTGTGTGTGAGTGAGTGAGAGTGTGTGTGTGAGTGAGTGAGAGTGTGTGTGTGAGTGAGTGAGAGTGTGTGTGTGAGTGAGTGAGAGTGTGTGTGTGAGTGAGTGAGAGTGTGTGTGTGAGTGAGTGAGAGTGTGTGTGTGAGTGAGTGAGAGTGTGTGTGTGAGTGAGTGAGAGTGTGTGTGTGAGTGAGTGAGAGTGTGTGTGTGAGTGAGTGAGAGTGTGTGTGTGAGTGAGTGAGAGTGTGTGTGTGAGTGAGTGAGAGTGTGTGTGTGAGTGAGTGAGAGTGTGTGTGTGAGTGAGTGAGAGTGTGTGTGTGAGTGAGTGAGAGTGTGTGTGTGAGTGAGTGAGAGTGTGTGTGTGAGTGAGTGAGAGTGTGTGTGTGAGTGAGTGAGAGTGTGTGTGTGAGTGAGTGAGAGTGTGTGTGTGAGTGAGTGAGAGTGTGTGTGTGAGTGAGTGAGAGTGTGTGTGTGAGTGAGTGAGAGTGTGTGTGTGAGTGAGTGAGAGTGTGTGTGTGAGTGAGTGAGAGTGTGTGTGTGAGTGAGTGAGAGTGTGTGTGTGAGTGAGTGAGAGTGTGTGTGTGAGTGAGTGAGAGTGTGTGTGTGAGTGAGTGAGAGTGTGTGTGTGAGTGAGTGAGAGTGTGTGTGTGAGTGAGTGAGAGTGTGTGTGTGAGTGAGTGAGAGTGTGTGTGTGAGTGAGTGAGAGTGTGTGTGTGAGTGAGTGAGAGTGTGTGTGTGAGTGAGTGAGAGTGTGTGTGTGAGTGAGTGAGAGTGTGTGTGTGAGTGAGTGAGAGTGTGTGTGTGAGTGAGTGAGAGTGTGTGTGTGAGTGAGTGAGAGTGTGTGTGTGAGTGAGTGAGAGTGTGTGTGTGAGTGAGTGAGAGTGTGTGTGTGAGTGAGTGAGAGTGTGTGTGTGAGTGAGTGAGAGTGTGTGTGTGAGTGAGTGAGAGTGTGTGTGTGAGTGAGTGAGAGTGTGTGTGTGAGTGAGTGAGAGTGTGTGTGTGAGTGAGTGAGAGTGTGTGTGTGAGTGAGTGAGAGTGTGTGTGTGAGTGAGTGAGAGTGTGTGTGTGAGTGAGTGAGAGTGTGTGTGTGAGTGAGTGAGAGTGTGTGTGTGAGTGAGTGAGAGTGTGTGTGTGAGTGAGTGAGAGTGTGTGTGTGAGTGAGTGAGAGTGTGTGTGTGAGTGAGTGAGAGTGTGTGTGTGAGTGAGTGAGAGTGTGTGTGTGAGTGAGTGAGAGTGTGTGTGTGAGTGAGTGAGAGTGTGTGTGTGAGTGAGTGAGAGTGTGTGTGTGAGTGAGTGAGAGTGTGTGTGTGAGTGAGTGAGAGTGTGTGTGTGAGTGAGTGAGAGTGTGTGTGTGAGTGAGTGAGAGTGTGTGTGTGAGTGAGTGAGAGTGTGTGTGTGAGTGAGTGAGAGTGTGTGTGTGAGTGAGTGAGAGTGTGTGTGTGAGTGAGTGAGAGTGTGTGTGTGAGTGAGTGAGAGTGTGTGTGTGAGTGAGTGAGAGTGTGTGTGTGAGTGAGTGAGAGTGTGTGTGTGAGTGAGTGAGAGTGTGTGTGTGAGTGAGTGAGAGTGTGTGTGTGAGTGAGTGAGAGTGTGTGTGTGAGTGAGTGAGAGTGTGTGTGTGAGTGAGTGAGAGTGTGTGTGTGAGTGAGTGAGAGTGTGTGTGTGAGTGAGTGAGAGTGTGTGTGTGAGTGAGTGAGAGTGTGTGTGTGAGTGAGTGAGAGTGTGTGTGTGAGTGAGTGAGAGTGTGTGTGTGAGTGAGTGAGAGTGTGTGTGTGAGTGAGTGAGAGTGTGTGTGTGAGTGAGTGAGAGTGTGTGTGTGAGTGAGTGAGAGTGTGTGTGTGAGTGAGTGAGAGTGTGTGTGTGAGTGAGTGAGAGTGTGTGTGTGAGTGAGTGAGAGTGTGTGTGTGAGTGAGTGAGAGTGTGTGTGTGAGTGAGTGAGAGTGTGTGTGTGAGTGAGTGAGAGTGTGTGTGTGAGTGAGTGAGAGTGTGTGTGTGAGTGAGTGAGAGTGTGTGTGTGAGTGAGTGAGAGTGTGTGTGTGAGTGAGTGAGAGTGTGTGTGTGAGTGAGTGAGAGTGTGTGTGTGAGTGAGTGAGTGTGTGAGAGAGTGTGTGTGTGTGTGAGAGAGTAGGGATGGGTATTATATTAAACCCGGTATTTAATCGTCTCGGGGCTAAATTATGAAAGACCGGAGTATCGATAAGCTCAGACGTTAACGGTTCTGCTATCGGTACTGGAAAAATTAATAAAACACACATACATTTATTATTGCTATATATACATTATCTTGCAAATTCTATCTCACCAGAGTCGCCAGCTGTTTTTCAAACATTTGTCTATGATGCACTTTTGCTATTCGCAATTCAGAAGCAAGATTGTCTATGATGCATTTTTGCTATTCGCAATTCAGAAGCGAGAGCGCGCTCACGCGGAGGAGCTTCAGCACGCGCAGCATGAAAGCCGTTTAATTATGATAGAAGAGAGAACTAAACATTCAAACTTCTGCTTACACTTCATGCCTGTGGCTGTTTTATTAAGCTAACTTTATTTTTTTATTTCGATTTTGGCTTCTAAGGATTATACAAAAGAAGACATGAGGTAAAGCTATTAAAAACTAGCTGCGTTTCGTATTGCGCAACTTCTTTCCCTTCACAGCGGTGCGCATTCGTTCCTCCCTAAAACCCAAACTTAACGTCAGAATCAGCTCAATCGGTGATTGTTGTAAGATGCCGTCTT